GCTAACTCTCATGATTTTATGACAAGTATCACAGTAGCTGGCATTTGTTCTGAGAGCCCCAGGACCTGGAGGCATGTGATTATGACACAACCTCAGCTTCCACTGAATCAAAGTATGTTTCTAGCAGTCGAGATTTTTTTTTTTGGGGGGGGGAGGGAAGGGAACACATTCAAACCAAACCAATCTCCCCTCAAAAATGTACCCCAAGTGTATACAAATATTATAAACCAGGGAGCAGGGAGCATCTATCTAGATTGCTATAGTTATAATAGATAGATAGATAGATAGATAGATACCTGCAGATATAGATCTGCTATATGCAGATATAGATCTGCTAGATTTCTCTCTCTATGGAGATAAATATAATCCTATAGATTATAGATTATCTATAGGATAGATATAGGATCTATAGGATAGATTATAGGATTATAATCCTATAGATATCTCTATAGAGATATTTTATATAGATATATATTTTATATATAGCATTGAAGGTGGACAATACTGATGAAGTGAGGTCCTTGCCTTGAATCTGAAAACACAGATACCAAATCAGCCATGGGATTGTTTTTAGGCATAGAGCTTTAAAAACAAAACAAAAAGCTTAGGAGCGAGAAGGTGCAAATGGTGGTGAATGAGGAAGAGCCAAGCCCCCCTTTAGTGTTACTTGCACATAGCTGATGTGCACAGGGAGAAAAGGTTCCCTGTGTGAGAAGTATGAGGAAAGCGTGGTGCAAGGAACAACGGTTACAGGCTCTGTGCATTCACTGCTGCGCTGAGATGCTTTACAACACGGGGACGGTTGCACCTCCCATGTTCACCAGGGTAGCTTGGTATGGACTTGCCACTGGCAGGCGACCCTTTCCGCAACAGACAGCCTTGACCTTGGCCAACCTGAGTGACTTGTCATTTCAAGCGTCTCAGTTTTCGTATGGCCAATTTGAAACACCTTAAAGGGACCTGATTATCAGGGAATTCTGAGCCCCCTCTGTGGCAATTTAAGGCTAATTTCAAAGAGTCTGAAGCTAGGAACTAATCAGTTTGGAAAACTGAGCCTTTCTGGAAGTTCTCCCTCTCTCTTGCCACCCAAGAGGGAAGGAAGTCCTGCAACCCCCAGGACCCAGGACCCAAAGCCCTTTCAACCTTGTGTGCCAACCAGCCAGACTGTGTTTGCATTATTTAAGGCTAATTTCAAAGAGTCTGAAGTTAGGAACTAATCAGTTTGGAAAACTGAGCCTTTCTGGAAGTTCTCCCTCTCTCTTGCCACCCAAGAGGGAAGGAAGTCCTGCAACCCCCAGGACCCAAAGCCCTTTCAACCTCCTGTGCCAACCAGCCAGACTGGGTTTGCATTGGCCTTACCAGCACTATCAGCTTCTCTCTTAGGCCCTTGATGTCATCTTTGAGCTTCTGCTCCTTCAGCCTCCACTCTGCTTTGTGCACCTCTCGGCTCAGGTCTCTCTCCGGCCCGGGTGAATGACGATTGGCTTCCAGTAATAAAGCCCGCAACTCATTCAAGCTCCTAGAGGAAACGGAGGCTAACATTTTTTCAGCTGCCCATAGAGCATGGTGGGGGAAAGCAGCCTTAGATCTCTTAACTACTTCTCTCAGCTTTGCTCAAGGAGGCAACATGAGGTGCTTTTGAGAGTCCCTCAGGATAAGCAAATGGCATTCTGCCTACGGCTACATTCAGGGTGTGTATTGTACGCGCAAGTGCCCTCCAAAAGGACCATAACACTACAACCCCTGCATTTACTTCCTGAAAGACTGACCTTTCTTTTTTGAGTAGCTCCTGGCTAATCAGGACCAACTGTCCTGAAGCATCATGGGTTTTCCTGGACAAGGCGTCCAGGTCAGTTTCCAACCTTTTCTTCTCCTTCAACAATGAATCCGTCTTCTTCTCTGCAGATTTGCTTTTATTTTCCAATGCTGGAAAAGAATATGGGAAAATTGTCAACCGGTCCCTGCTTGCACCCCTTTTCTGGTGGCTTCCTCTTTCAGTGCCCATTCCTCCAATCCTGTCACTGGTCAGCCATCCGCCAACTGCCACCAGAGTCCATGAGTTACACGGACTTAGCAATATCCAGGATATGACCTGTCTAGGCAGAGATTTCAAGAATGATAAATGCAGCTGCATTTATTTATTGGCTTCTCAAGTTTGTTAAGATCCTATGGCCAGATTATCTTCCCTTGACATATGAATTACTTCAATGGAATTTACTGAGTCCTTCTGGAGGAGTGTTGAGAACAATCCACTGCTACAGGATAATTGCATGCTTTATGTGCACATAAGTTGCAACATTGCTTTAGCCTATGAGCCCAGCTTCTCCTTGTAAAGACATGGGTACAAAAGACCATAGAGTTCCCACTAGCACTGGATTAGGGAAACTTACCACTTACTTGGGCCCTTAGAGTTTCAGTCTGGGAGACCAGTGATGACACCTCTTTGTCTCTCTTACTCAGTTTGTCTTGCAGCTCTTTAGATAAATAGAAAGTGGGGAGGGGAGAGGGAGAGAGAGATTACACCCTCAGAAATTGCTTTGCCCAGTCATACATATAATGAAGGTAAAGGGTTGCATGGAGGGCTCCCTAGCCAACACTCGCACCAAGTGCAAACATGTACACGTCCATTCCTGAGATCAGCTTTTCTCCAAGTTGTTCAGATCTGGGTCTATAACTTGGTCCATTTCAGAGAGAAACCACCATGCAGTCCATCCCCAAATACCACCTTATCCATGATTTAGCTGCACCCAGTTTTTGGGTTTCGTTGCAGACTCTTATCCCATTTGCAGAAAGATAAAGGGCACAGACCAAATTATTCTAGCCAACAGCACTGTTTCCACCAAACCACAGGGCTGGCTTATATTACTAGTCTACAGTGGGGGAGAAAAAGCATAATACAGTACTCCACTGTTTTTGCTCAGACAGGTGTGCTTGAAATGCAAAAGCCAGAAAACCATTGTGATCTACAAGATACATACGGGTGGCTCCCCAAGCCCTCTTCAGGGAGATGTTTCTGCTAGAGCAAAAAAGCAAAAGACAGGTGGAGGGTACATAATCACTTGAAACAAAGCACTTCAACAGAACTAGGACAATTCAATTTATTACCTTCCATGGTCTGCTTCATTTTTATCTTTTCTTCTGAAATATCATTTGTTTCAATCATCTGAAAAATGCAAAACATCCATATATAGAATAACTGCTGCTCTGTGCTATTATTCTGCCATAGCATCAAAGAAAGCCAGTGACCCTGAATTGAAAACACTAACCAAAGAATAAGAACACAACTTGCAGTGTCCTTAATGTCTTAATATCTAATGAGACAGATTTACACCCTTCTTAGAAAGCAATCAAAGGTGTATTTGCTCAAAGAGACAGTAGCCATTGGACCCAGCTCAGTACTTAGCTGTCTACATAACTGAAGGGAAGGCCCAGTTTCCACAAGAAGGACCAATTTCCACTCATAGATGTTAGGGTCGGAAGGGACCTCAATAGATCATCGAGTCCGACCCCCTGCATAGGCAGGCGACCCCCTGCATAGACCCCCACTCATATGACAGTGCCTGAACTTTGCTGTTTCGGGGTGGGAGGGAAATCAGCAGGCAGGAGGGTCTACCTGCAAAGTTTACATGGAAATTTTAAACACCCAAAGACTGGGAGAGTAGGGTGGGAAAATGCTGATCTGGGGCTGATTTGTATCAGGCACTAAGGATCAATCATGGCAAGATCCTCTACTGGGATGAGCATTATTGGATGCACTGGCTTTTGAGCACTCAATCTGAGACATCTGAAAGGAATACAACTGTCAGCAAAATGGGTCTCCAGCTACTTCAGAAATGCAAGCCTTTTTAAAGGGCTTTAAGGGGCCCAAAACTGAAACTCACTTAAGGAAATGCTGGCCTAAGAGCATCTTTTGTGCCTTTCCTTTTGGGTACGTCCATACTGCAGTTACAGACAACAAGTTGGGCTAGTTTACTCTTCTGAAAAACTAACGTAGGTATCTATATCTATTATATTGCAATTGCTACTGTGACTGCACAATCGACATGCACTCTGTGAATATACAGAGCTGTGCTGGGATTTACAGCAGCGATTCATTGCATGCTACCAATAGCGCTCCTAGTTCCCATTCAGAAAAATAGGTATGCACATAAGTGAACTGCAACCTTAATGATTTTTCTTCATGTTGACTTCAGAAGAACTTTTGCAAACACTTAAAGCCCAGTGAAGTCGCATCTACTCAACAAAACAGGGAAGCATGTTTTTAAAGGGCTGTTTGTAAATGGTAGTCAAATTAATAATCACTGAGTTCAGTGGAAGCTGCAGCACACCCTGAGGTTATAGTACTTGCATCAGGCATGACTCCAGGAGAGGAACTGTTTGTTAGTTAGCAACAAACCTGAAGCTCCTTCTTGGAATACGTGGAAAAGCTGGAATCTATATACTCAGCAGCTGTATTTGTTTCCTTCCTATTTGTTATTTCCAGACACATCAAACCCAATCCATTACATGCTGCATAGGGCAGGTTAACACAGAAGCCAGCTGATTTGTAGGGCTATGCAAAGCTTTGGTAGCTGATTCAATTTGGATGAGGTTCAGCCTGATTCAGCGGCCGAATCTCTGAATCCAAATTGAATCGGGAGACCAATTAAATAGGTCCGAATCAAATCGGAAGCCCCCTGAATCGATTCAGAAGATTCAATGCCAATTTGGAGATTTGGCCATAGACTAAATAGGCAGCAGTCCTCACCATGCTGGACACAGCTGTCTCCAGCTGGTAAAGTCTGTACAGGATGGATTGGGGCTGGGACAAGCTGCCCAGCTGGGCTGGGGGGGCGCGGGACTTGAGGACTCCTGCCACCACGTGCCGCCAGTCTGGGAGGGCATGGGAGTGGGAGTGTGCTCCCAGATCTGCACAGGGTGGGCTGCCCGTGGTGCGGAAGGGGCTGGGAGCGCAGCCTCCCCATACCTCCTGGAAAAGCCCCGGCTTTGCCCCAGCTGGGTGACCAGTGGCAGGGCATGGTGGTGGGTGCGTGCACCCAGATCAGGGAGGGGCTGGCAGCAAGGGCTATGGGGAATTTTAGGGTGGCTGCAGCCCACCCATAGTCTCTGCTCCACTGCTGTCTGTGGGGCAGGCAGAGCCAGGGATGCGCTCCGGGCTGCAGCTGGGGCTAGCCTCCTGCAGCGGTCTGGCCCAGCCCACCCTGCGCAGATCCAAGAACATACGCCCACTCCCATGCCCTCCCGGACCAGTGGCACGCAGTGGTGGGAGCCCCCCTCCCCGAGTCCCGCACCCCCCCACCCCTGCTGGGCAGCTTGTCCCCAGCCCCAGTCCCAATCCCTCCTTTGCTGTAGGGGGCACTGATCTGCGCCCCCTCCATGCCCCTTCCCTCCCCGCTCTGCCCACCACAACAGACTTACCAGCTGGAGGCAGCTGTGTCCAGCATGGTGAGGACTGATGCCTGTTTAACCTATGGCCAAATCTCTGAATCTGCGACAAATCTTCAGATCTGAAATCAGCCAAATCAAATCAGGACAGTGATTTGAATCACTGAATCAAATCACTGTCCCTCCAAATCCAAAGCGAATTCTTGCCGCTGTGCACAGGTCTACTTATTTGCCCAGTATTTGGCTGTTCCCACAAACACTGGGGCTGATGCAGCTGGCAGCAGAGCGACAAGTAACTCTGTTGCCACAGGAGAGCTCACATCTGCCCGCAGAACTTCGCAGCATCCCGCAGTCTCCCTAGTCAGCAGCCCACAGGCTGAGCAGGTGAAAAGGCTTCAGCCGATGCCACACAACAACTGTTCAATCAATTAATCACTTCTACCTGGGCGCTTTTAAGTGGCTTGCAGGGCATCCAATGCCATCATGCTTGGGCGAGGGACAGACATTCAAAAAGCTGGAGCCTGAATTGATTCAGTCTTTGCAGGTTAGTCTAACCTGCCTAGATTGAACCAATTTGCAAGTGAAAAGACATTCACAAAATGCAGGCACATGCCTGCAGTGGCTCAGGCCAGGAGCTGGGAGACGCTAGAGCAGCCCTCAGCTGCAGGGAAGCTGTGCTGGGGTGGTGGGGGCATGGCCAGCCATGGCAGTAGCTTGGAGTGAACTGGCCATGGAGGGGGTTTAATTCCCACCTCCCTGCCCCACCAGCTCAGACCAGAGCCAAGGTCTGCTGGGTGCTCCCCTACCATGCCCGCCCCCGGCTGCAGTGGTGGGGCACAGCCCCCTGAAGCAGAGGGGGCAGAGAGGGGGGTAAATCCCCCCTCTACACAGGGGACCACAGCCGGGGTCTGACTACTGACACTTGCTCCCTGTGCAGGGCAAGCGACGGGATAAGCCCCCTTCTGCCCCCTCCACCAGATACCAGAGGGACGAGGGAATAACCCCCCTCCCTACCCCTTGCCTAAAGGGCCCTGCTGGCTGGCCTCTGGCCGGGCCCCTGACCCTACCACTCGAGTGGTGAAGGGGAGTGACCCTGATGGGGCTGCAGCCCGTTACCGTGCCCTGGAGCACGAGCCTCTTCCCAGCAGGGGGAGCGTGCTGCAGGGCAGGGAAAGCTGCCACAGACTGCACGGGTCGAGCAGCGGTGGTGCTAGCGGGGTTGCGGCCCCTTCCAAGCCCCAGTGCTGCCATCTGCCCAGCACAGTCCATAGCAGCTCTGACTCCCCACCAGGAAGAGGCTCATACTCCCTGGACATCAGGAAGGGGGGCTGCTGCCCCATCAGGGCCCTGCCCCCTCGCTGCTCCAGCGGCAGGGCAGGCGTACAGCCAGAGGCCAGCGGGTAGGGCCCCTTAGGTGGGGGGCAGAGAGGGGAGTTACTCCCCCCTCCCTCCAGCATCTAGCAGAGGGAGCAGGAGGGGGCTTATTGCTCCACTTGCCCCATGCAGGGAGCGAGCGGCAACAGTGGCAGTCAGACCCTGCTGCAGTCCCTCAGGGGCAGAAGGGCTG